AACTAAGTTTGTGAATATTTGAATTCTACATTTTTAAATTAAGAAAATAGAACTATAAAACAGAAACAATGATTTCTGTATTCTCAAATTTTCACCAAAATAGATTTGAGCAATGCCATAATTTAATGCAATTGCTCAACATAATGCTAGTTGACATTTAATTTTGGCCAGAATTTATAACTATAATGCTGGTCATTTTATGTAATTCAGGTCAGTTCACAGAATTTTTGCTAAATTATCATTTTGCACAGATAGAATTGTAGCCATTGTATAATGCAGGTCGAAATTTTGTAGACCACGGCATTTAGCTAATTAAAATTATGAATCTAAATTGGTGTAATAGTTAAGATGTTTTATTGTAAGATACTAAAGGACAAGCATTTTTTTCGATAATTTCAATACAGAATTTCAAAACAATCTAATTCTGGTCAAATTTGCAGATCGTTTGGCCTACTGGGGATGAGTTTAAAATTCATCCCCAATAGGCCAAGTGATCTGCAAATTTGACCAGAATTAGATTGTTTTGAAAATGTAGATCAGGATCTTTAATATTTTGATTATTTTGATTAGCTGTTTATAGCATGTGGCCTGAATTTTTTTTTGCCATGGCTAGGGTACTCTAATATGTATAACTGTATAACATATAAAAATATAATTATTTGGCACTTGTTTAAATGTTTGATTGAAAAATTGATTAAGAAACTGATCAATAATTTATCGGCTATAGCCGGCTACTAGTTGATAGTCGATATTAGCTAACCGATAGCTGACTATACCATAGCTAACTGAACCATTACAGCTTCTTTCTGTCTACTGCCACAGTGAAAGCAAGTATGCGATATACTTAGTGAAGGGTATTGACTTAGAGCTTTAGATGATTAGTAATAGATAATAAAGAAAATATACAAAAAAAAAAAAAAAAAAACTTTATATGTTTAATATGTCTTTGGGCCAGAACGAATGAATCGAAGTACACGTGATTCACGTGATTCATGTGACTCACATACCAGGAACGTAGTGTATGGTTATATGGCAATTTAAATGGCGTGCATCCACAAAAAATCGTATATGATTGGATAATGCATCAAATGCACTTAAATATCACATTGTTGAATCATCACCTGGCTCTAGACTCGTAAAAAAAAAATTGCTTTGTTGGTAATTATATATGAACTCATTAATGAATGCATGTGATATATCGTTCAAGCATAATTATACATTATTAAAATTAAATACTATCGCTAACTGAAAATAGAAATACAAAAGAATTGTATCGCTTAATATTTATAATATCTGTTATTTATACTATTCTATTCATAGAACATGTAATCACTTTTTTTTTTTTTTTACTTTTAATGTATTAGATTATATTTATACACCTTCACCAGTTATCCTTTGATCACTTAGACTATTAAATGCCGTCTTCATATTACTAATTTAAATGCTGTACGTACATACCCTTAGAGTTAGTAAAAATACTATTTAAGATTTAACGGCGCATGTGGCTTTTTCATAAAATACCAAACCTGATTATACCTGTCATTTCATCCTAATTGTAAAGGTATGATCTTTCGAATTCGAAATTGGGCTGAATCAGCTTTCAAATTTCAAACCAGACTAAGCTGTTTAATGAAGATCAATTCATAAGCCTTATACTAAACTGTTATAAGTGAAACATCTAGATTACTAGAATATACAAATAAATATATACATATTGTACCCTTTAACCTTACATCTAGAATCTTGCCAAAAAAGGCTAAATTCGGTAAAAAGAGAATCTAGTATATATTTATTCTGGCTAGAATTATTAAATTCTAGCCAAAATTATATTATAAATTTATAGGTTTATATACAAATATTCTAGGATACATATATCCGTATCATGTAATGTATTTAAAATAATATATAGTATTTATAGATATATATATTACTTTTACTAATATATAATAAAACTATTTATTTTTATTAATATTTTAAATCAATACATTATCCAAAGATCAATGAGATTTGGAATGCTGATACATTCGTTAATTTTTATTAAACTTTAGATAGCAAAAAACATTCACCATAGTTAACATCACGATAATTTAGATTATATTATTATTGAGTACACCCGTTATTAAATAAATAAGATTAATATTACACGTATAACATATTATAATACACTTAACTTAATATAAAAACTTTAAAATATAGCATAATACAACTCAACCTTCTATTACATATCAAATTTTTCACAAATCTAATTCTAATAATACCATCAGTCTGGTTACATTATGGCAAATGCATAAAAACTTATCAATTATAAGTCTTTTACTTAACATAATTCATATATAAAGCAGTCCCGTATCAAGCTAAGTGCATATTTATCCTCCTTTTATTTACAATCAACGTTCCTGGTTTTGTGCGAAGCTATCTAGTGAATAATGATCGGAAGTATGAACGGTCGGTAATATTTGAGATACCGAAGTAAAATAATAATTAATATATCAAGGAAAGATCAACTACGAAATAATAGGTTATACGAAATAGTTTATTAATAATTTATGCATGAATAATCGAATAAAGTATGTAATCAATTTAAGAGACAATGGTCGTATGATCAATATATGATGTAACGACCAGAGTCAATTAAGAGTATAAGTTGCGAAGCGATAATAAGAATAAAAAGTTAGTTAGTAAATGAATAAATAAAATCTCGTGAATAGTTAAAGCAAACTTGTTACTTTCCTTAAATAAATAAACACATTAATATCCGTAAAGTGCTTCCCCACCCCATTTAGGTTAGGTTATTTTGTTGACTAAAGTCACTAATTAACCCGCGACACTACCGATTCAAGGTTGATTCTTGGGACAATTAATTGGTTAGTTTTAATTAGTCCACACTTTCTCAGTATACATGAAACCTATCTCTAGTTTCACCAATCGTCAATCATCTGTAGTTTCGTCTATAGTTTCGTCATTCGTCTGATGAAACCAGAGACGAATACGTTTCGTCTGTCGAAAATAGTTTCGTCAGGCATCACTAATTGAGACAAAAACCTGTTAAATCAATAAAAAATACAAGTTGAACGTATGTTATGGTTAAACAAATCTCATATGTATAAATATAGATGTAATATCGTGAAGTTTAAGTGCAGAATATCACGTTTCATTACATTTAATGCATTGTCCAATCAATTATGAGATTTGGCGGGCATACATCACTAAATATATATCACTCCGTTACTGGGGTGATTCAGAACTAAGTTTCAAGTTTTTGATTTCGAATTAAATTAGTAATGTATTTATTTCAAGGTGCTTGTTTATTTTGATTTATAAACATATAATAGCTAGAACATGATCATGCAGGCGGCTTCACCGCCTTTTTAATTATTATATGCAGAGGCTAATTGTATTTACATATTTAAAATAATTCGAATAAAATGATAAAGTGTGACTTGTTAGTAAAGATTTATAACTTGAATAATCTATTTTAAATACCTCAGTTTATCTATCCATCTATCTATCTACTTTAATTTGGGTTCGTGCGCTTTAACGTTTTTGATTGGCCAAAACCGAAGGTAGTGGGAATTTTGGGTTTATGCGCTTAATCATTTTTGATTGACCGTAACCGAAAGCTGTGAGAATTTTGGGTTTGTTCGTTTTAACGTTTTTGATTGGTCATAACTGAAAATGTGATCAGGGTTCAGAGTGTGGGAATTTCGGATTTATGTTTTTGTGGAAATTTTCGATAGTGCAATTTAACGTTTTTAGCTGAACTTGGCATTTTTGAATAATCAATCTAAAATCCAAAAGATCTAGAAAACCATGGTTAGAATGTGTGAAAACCTTTAAAGTATATAGATAAACAATTATAACAATTATACTATTCCAACTAGTGCTACGAACGGGTCAGGTCGGGTTGAAAATTTTCGGATTAGAGCTTCAACCCGACCCGACTAGTGTTGTAGAATTAATTTGACAAAATTAATACGGTTACGGCATGTGCCGCATTATTTGCCACAATTACTTTGTGCCGCAATGTCGTAATGTTGTAATGCCGCAATGTAATAATGCCGTAATGCCGCTATGCTATTATATTGAAATACCATAATGTTGTTGTAAATAAGCACAGTAAATTTACTGGTTTTGTGAGAATAGAATCATTGATCATCAAAGTTCGTAGCGAAAGATCTTTTACTGTTCGTCAAGATTGTTTCTTATAGCTGGGAGTAAAGTTTGTTTTCGAATTATCCTAAAATAAAAAGACTTGTTTTTGGTTGTCTAAAAATTTCTAACTTGTTACAAATTAACCTAAATTGTTCTATATTTTTACTACTGCGAAAACAATTAACGATTGACGTAAATGCTCAAGCTGCAGATCTACGACATAGCCATTATATTCATAACAGTAAAGCAAGTTATGCTATATTTCTGTCATTGTGGTGAATAATTATGATTGGTCATTAATTTAAAGAAAACGGTGTTAAAGTTATAAAGTATGAACACAAAGCGTTCAAATATTATCAAAAATCCGATAGTAATTTAATTTTAAACCATAACACTAACTAATGGAAATTACAATTTTGATGACATTTATCATTCAGATGATTGAGAATGTGCAATGGAAATGCAATAAGAAAAATTTAAGCATATAATAATATATGTCATAATAAATTGAACATACGATACAATAATATTTATCATAATGCATTTATCATTTGGACAATGCAGAAACGCAAACTTTAAACGACCAATCAAAATAGCCAAAAATGCGCGAACTCTGAATTAGATTACGGATTATATATAACTGTAGTATAGTTTTTTTTTAAAGATCTATTAAAAATAGTATATAAATTGAATTTTTATTCTATTAAGAATAGTATATAAATTGAATTTTTATCTATTAAGAATAGTATATAAATAGAATTTTTATTCTATTAAAAACAATACTAATAATTTGTCAAAATAATATTTAATCGACACGTAATATCTTCTATTTTATGTTTGTTAATTTGTTAAATAAAAAGTAGTTTAAGTATCATTACCAAAACCAATAGCATACATCCAACATTCATATCAAAAGTTCTGCAACTTCTGCTTATGGGAGAATCATATTTGACATCAGTTGAATTTGTGGAGTTTCCCCCATCAGGAGCAAATGAAATGTCAACATGAACTTTTAGCGAATCATTCCAAAAATTAGCTATAGCAAGACACCATAATGTATTTGGTATGGGATTTTCTGAGTACAATGAACTACATTGGGAAGTAGAATCTCCGTTACAATATAAGTATAAATCAGTTTTATTATAGTTATTGATTCTAATTATTCCTATGCCAGGAGTATAGCTATCCAAAGTCGCATTCGTATGATCTTTATATTCATAAAATAACTCCGAAGACACGGGTGCCGATGAATTTACGAGGCTAGCATTGAAGCCTACAAATTATTATTATTATTAATCAATATTAAAATTTTAAAACTTTAAAAAATATAGTTTCAAATTCATACTTAAATATGTTGTATTTATTTTAGAACAAGTTGTCCACCACGTCCACACTTTGGTAATATTATTAAATGGAGGAAGGTAAATAGTTCCTGATTCTGCTGTGATTTGTTTGACTGCTATGATATTGATTACGAAAATCTATTAATTGAAAGAAAAGAGAACTTTGTTAATATATTAAAAATATTAACATCAAGGAGATTATGTGATCCATAGCAGACAAATTTAGATAAATATAATTTAATTATTTCAACTTATAATATGTTGTCGTAGGTATGAGATTTTGGGACACAATTTGAATCTATAAATCCATTTATACTTTTTATTAGTTCTAAATTCATAAAAAGTAAAAAGCCCAAAATGTATTTATAAAATTCAAAAATTTTATATTAGGTCAAATTTTAGTTTCAACCTGATTTTTAAACTCATTCAATATCAATCATTTTTTAATTTCTGCCTACTTAGATTAAATTTAAAATCGATAGAATGAATAAAGAAAAATCACCTTGAGAATCAAAATAATAATTATTAAAATTTTCATATTATTTATTATTTTTTCAATTGAAAATTTCTCTTTATTGGTTTTCGTAACGTAGTTGGCCCGAATTTTTGGTTTTATGAAGTATATATTAAAAAAAGGTCTCTAATGGTCTTTTTTAAAAAAATTTACAGAAAACCCACATATTTTGTCTTGATAAAAAAAAAAAAGAAAAGACAATCCGTTTAAAAATTAAAAGCTGGGTTGTAATAATATATATTTGAAAAATAATTAATAACTTTGTATAAATTTATTTTGTCTATTTCCAAAACTTATAGAAGTAACCCGAAGTTATTTAAATAAAATTATCATCGGATTTAGTATATTGTATAATACCGATGCAACAGTATATTGCAATTTTTTTTCTTTGCCATTATTGTGATTTTAAAGATAATTCTATTCTGTGTTAATATACATACTCTTGTGTTATAAATCGAATAATAATTGCAGATGAAAAATTCACTTTTCTAATAAATAGAAAATATTGGCGCTTTTCAATTGTTAATGAAAAGAATCAGTATATTCTAATGGTTCTTTAATAATAAACCCCATAGTATATCATTCTTCTCCTATGCGTAACCATACCCCGCATTAATTTGTAACCGTCAAAACAGTGGTACGTACGCACAAATCGAGAAAACAACGATACATATACAGTACGTACAGTACATGCGTACAATCTAATTCAGCCTAATCTTCGAATAATGCAAGATGAATGCTATAATGTTACACAGCATATTATTGTATTACTTTATTAGGAAATTAGCAATCTCCCTTCTCTATATTTTATTTGGTATTAGGAGATTAGCAATTTTCCTTTTCTTTATCGTAATGCCTTTTAAATTCTTATTACCACCTTAATTGATCTGCTTCTAATTAAGGCTTTGAAGGTATGGCGTAAACTTTTCATGCATATTTATTACACTACAGCATGCTTGGCATAACTTATTTTTGCAGATCGTTTTGTGAGACTTTAGTAAAATATTATTAGCTAAATACAATATTAATGTATAGTATAGGGGCTTTAACAACTCATTATAATGATAATTAAAGATAAAAAAAAAAAAGCGTTTATAAATTTAATTAATGCATTACAATTATGCATTAATTTAAAACTTCATAATAAAATTTCTATTTTTTAATTATGAAATGTTACATTTGTAAAAAAGTAATCTAAGTCTAAATCGCTTAATCAATGTTTATGGCTGGTTCGGAATAAGAATATTTGAAGATTAGGCATTATTTGTATTCATAAAGTGAATGCTATAATGAATTTGTAATTGGCATTACTCATTTTAATGAAGTCTTTAAGTCTAATGGTTGAATCTAATGAGTATTTGGCGTACATCGCATGGATAATGCGTTTATGTAAATCTGATTGATTTAATATAATTTATTAATTGATTTGAATAACTCATCAAATTTAGTAAAATCATTATGACTATTCAATTTTGTGCTTATTCTGAAAGTGAGAAGTTTCTATCGAAACATTTCATTATATAGTACATATTGATGCATATATATCTAGTTTCTGTTATAATTATAAATACGTTGCATTCAAAGATCTTAATTTGTCATTCTAATTCGGACACAGTTTTAACTACCTATAATAAAATGATTATAAGTGATATTTACAAACGAAATCGCAATACTGAACCTTTATCAGTCCATATTACAAGAATTATTTTCATAATATTACTTTTGGGCTGCTTATCTTTATTTACTATTAACACAATCCTAAGTTGCATTAATGATCAACCAATCATCAGCTATTCTCTTATTAAAGATGACATGCCAGTACCAGGTGAAAATAAATCAAGTATAATTATCTTTTAAGCTCTTAATTCATGCTAAAGAAAATAAACTATTTATATCAGCTATACAACTCTCTTCGGAAGGATATTTTCTATTCCATTGCAACTTTATTACACCAGAAAGTTATGATACTGATGCAGCATTAGATGCGGCATTAGAAAGTAATGCTTGTAATCGATATATTACAGAACCATCTGAAAAAAATGGAAGTTATTATAACGGCTATCTCAAACTTCCATCTAATTCTAATTTTAAATTACTTTTAATGAGAAATTCAATAATTTTTTTTATGATGCCTTTTAATTCAAGTTCACAAGTTATGTTTAAAGCTTTTGATTCGGGTATTTATTTCACACTTTTGTCGATAACTTAAATTATTTATTACCTTTTTAATATAACAATATAAACAATATATAGAATATATTAACCTAAAAAACAGTGTAAATGGAAGTTTTACACCTGATAATTCGCCATTTTCGCAATCAATTGCACAACTTAATACTTATGAGTTCGATCCGGGACAGGTAAAAATATACTGAAATAATAATGTTTAATAAAATATGAGTTCATTAAATTTTAAGCCTCACTATTATTATTATTATTATTTATATTAAGTCGTATACGATAAATTTTAGTCGAAGAATTAGAAAAAAAATTATTCAAAATTGGAAAGCAACTTTGGGAATTACTCCTGATTATGAAAGAATACCATACTTATCATCAAGAATATGTAAATATTTATTAATTTTTTAATACGTTTACATTTAGTATATATAAATATTTCTATATTTTAATACTAATAATATTTATATGTAGCATTAATTGCTAATTTTTCTAATACCAACATTCCTGGATCATTCACTATTGATGCAGACTACAATGTGGCAGTTGTTGAAACAGAAATAAGGTAAACTTTGAAAACATAAAATTTACAATTTACAATTAAAAAAAAAAATATTTACATTCCAAATTATTTTAAATTATCTTTAAAGAACACATACAGTAAGTTCTTATTGCTTTTTTAGTTTATTAATTTATTAATTAAATTCTAATTCGTGATTTTATCAAGGTATTGAACTCACTTAGTTTAATTGGTGGCGCATGGACATTCTCGGTCATTATTTACAAACTGCTTTTTGGTAAAGTATTTTATTAATTTATATATATATTGGTATATACAATCATATTATATGCATATAAATATATTTTTTTATGCACTTTTCAAATAGGTGATGATGCGATACAGCCTTTTGGGGTAATTCAGAAGTATGGATGCTGCCTTCGCAATCGAACTATGAATAACTTGCGCAAATCTCTAATTACATTGCCATTAACTAATAATGTTCAAAATTCACATCTAATATCTGATAATAATGAAATTTCAATTGAACAATTAGAAAAAGAAATTAATGCTTTAGAAATATTCTTGAAAGATTATGTGATAGGTGCGCAGCAATTAGAAAATCTTTATAAATCTATTGAAAAATCTAAAGATAAATGAGAGTAAAATACTAGTTTAGTTAAATTTTATTATATAGCTTAATATATTATGCAGTTAAATGTATTTTTATTGACTTTAATAAACTTTTAGATAAATTTAATAAAGATAAAAGAAAAGGTTATCCAATTATTTTGTTTGAAACGCCATTTCGTTTTGAGATTTAATAAGTTACATGCCTGTAAGACAATCAACGACAATGAGGTTATCTTTGTAGCTTCGTAAAAGAATTTAATCAAAATTATAATTTTCAAACCGGCTTTACTAAATGTTTTATTATAATAACTAATACTTAAACTCTAATTTAGTGATTGAAGTAATTCAAACCGAAAAAATTAACTCTGCAAATTTAAGACAAATAGTTTACTGAAAAATTGGCAATGACTAAATCGATAAATTACCACAGATTTTCTTTGTTACGACTGTAAAAGAATTTATTTTCTTTAATAACAAGTTGTTAAAACTTAATTCGAGTTACAATATTTAGTATTATATTTATTTCAGTTACAATTATTATAAATTTAATCTTTATTGCATATTCGTATACTCATTCATACTACGTATAAGATTAGCTATTACATTCGTTGCTAGATTTCATTTCTAATTGTTGAATTTTCTTTAAATATTCTGCATTTACTAAATAATCACCCAACAATAGCTGTAATAAATTAAGTTTTTGTTTCAATTCTTGAATTGACATTTCATTGTCTGAATTATTAGGAATTAATTCAGAAAAAGTCATTAGATTTTCTTGCATGGTTTTATTGTGCCTTTGAACGAAACCCCATGGATTAAGAATGTTATTTCCTAAAATATGAAAGTTGATATATTTATAAATTAAAATACGAACTTAAATCATTTACAATTATAAAAACAAAAAAAAAATTACCAAAGAGCAACACAAGAAGGCTTATTGTAAGTCCCCATGCGCCACCCAATAAACCAAGTGAATTCAAAACCTATACAAAAAAAAAATAATAATAAGAATATTTGATGGTAATAATGTACCATTGTACAATATGCTTTAAACGAACAAACTCATACTTACGGTTTTAAGCCTTTAAAATCGAATTACATCGTAAACAATAAAATTCATTTTTACTGTAAAAAAAGTAAAATAAAAATTAAATATAAATATAAATACCTTTTATCTGTTTGAACTTGAATAATAAATGATTGAGGTTTAAAATTTAATTCAATAAGTGAGGTTTGAATTGTTGATGAATTTGTTATAGGAACTGATTCTAAATTATACGATTTAAAGGTTAGCTATGGGGTATATTTTGTAATTAATTAATTTTAGTTTATATACCTTGCGTAGAAGTAATATATGGTAGGTTTACAAGATCTGGTACAAGTCCTAAGTCATTTCGAAAATTTTTCCGAATAATTTCTTTGATATTTCTCGTGGTTCGAATCCTGTAAGTCTGTTGAATATAATAGAAATTAGAGGTTAAAATTTGAAATTTATACTTATTCTTTTATAAATTTATATTAATTAAATTAAAAAATCCCTTATTAGGTAATAGCTCGTATGTATTTGTTCCAATAATCGAATTTATAAATGCCGAGTATTTGCTTTCATGAAAGATTGGATCATTAAACCTATTAAATTCTGTATTACGATACAAAATAATTAGTTTTTTGATTTAATATAATTATTTTAGTAGTGGTATGATGCAGCTAAAGCTTCAAATTATATAATCTAAATCAAAAATTCCATAATTATCATTGATGTAAAATATCGGTGCTTCAGAAAGATCTGAAACGAGTTATAATAACTTAATCATATCTAGTTACGGATTGAGAATATTAATAAATAATAAAGTATTTCGAAGTACAGTATTAATATCTGTAAATGATATATATATACACTTACATAATAAATTACGGAATGGTTTGGAGTTTTGACTACAGCAATTTAAAAAGCAAATGATTCCCAACCACGACTAATTTATTTAGAATTATAAGCTATGCTGACCTGGATCAATTACACTTATATTCATTGCCGAGTTACTAATAAAGTCACCATAAATCATAATTCTGAAGGCGCTTAATCCTTGATTGGAATTTGTCGAAAATGTTACATTTTCCGCGGCTTGGAAACTTCCAACATATTCTGAAGAAATGCTTACGATTGGTTGAGTTATGTATTTCATACATTCTTTATTGTATTCACTAATGCCACTATCTGATTTTAATTAAAGAAATTTAAACTTAGTGATTAATTATACAGAAAATAAATAATACTCCAATACTTGCCAGCATACGTGAAATAACAATTAATATAAGAATTCTTTGGAATGTTAGAAAACATAAGCACTATTATTATTGCATATAAAATATTCGAGTTTAATTTAATGCCATATTTCATTTTATTAATGATAAATTATTATACTTCACCCGGAACTGGGAGAGAATTAGTCTCCACTACCGAATCCACAGTAACAGGTTGATCATTGTAAATTTCTAAAATTAATAACACAGTGTATAAAACTAAAATTATTGAAAGCAATAACTTTACGACTAATCGAAATACAAAGACAGATATAGGTTCAGTTGTTCGATTGTTTTTAAATATTCCTTCAAACATTTTTTTTTTACTAGATATGATTAAGTTTTTTTGTAATTCGAAAAGACTTCTGCCAAAAAAAAAAAAAAAAAACATTATAGTGAAAGTAAAAGTAACTGTTACACACGGCCAGTTATTCACTTACATTAATCTTGTATAGTACGTAGAAATAGACTACGTAGCAACAGTATGTGCGTTATATATAAAATATATAATTGCTTATTAACGCTAATAAGAAACGCCACATGCACATAGTTGGTGTTGAATGCATGCATGTTGGATTTCATATATTTAAGCAATGCAGAAATAATTTGGGAATGCAAAGAAATCGTATTTTCCGAGAATATCAAACATATTATATACTATAATTTATTGTCATAATTATTGTTAATAATATAAAAAATTTACGGAAATATTAAAGTTCAGATTTCTAACGCTGATTGAATATAATGTGTGCGGCTGAATTTTGTATGCAAGTGCAATTTCACACATATGTATAAGCTTGTGGATATTTCATTATTGTTATTCCTTTTGTATGCAAGTGCAATTTCACGCATATGTATTTCATTATTGTTATTCCTTTTATATATCGTGCATAAAATTGCCACTTAAAATGACAGAGTATTTTTTCGATTTGAACATGTTATACTTTGTTTAATGCATCAAAAGTAACCAAAAATTAAAAGGAGAACCCTATTGTAAAAAGAAAAAAAAGAAAAAAAAGAAAAAATTTAATTGGTATTTAGGACAGAATTCTAGAATTTCATGCAATGTAGGGTTCGGAGTTAAAAGACGGGAGTTTAATTTTTACTGAAATAGATGGCATACATATTTGTTTTCAAATAAGGATGCGTTAATTTATGGCAAAAAATTGAATTAATGATCTTTGTTATTGAAAAATTACTAATTTTGTGGAAATGGTGTTCCAAACACTCTAATTTCATTTTTCGGGTACAATAAATGAGATCTTTAATATTCCTATTTTTCTATAATAAGCTTGTTTTTTTTTTAAATTCCAAAATTGCAAATGAATAAAATATTTAGGATTGTAACTTTCTTATGTACATAAGATATAATTAAATAATTTATATTCCTTACATAAACATATTTGGTTAAATAAGAACATAATATAGATTTAAGAAAATACTTTGAAGTTTCTGAAATCACTTCACTATTGTCCATCTTTGAATAACTATTTAATATTTAATTTTACACATAATAATTATACTGATAAAGCTTTATAAGTTAAACGAAAGTTGAAACAAGTTAAAATAGTAAACTCTAGACGCAATATACATATATATCTGTGTATCTTTGAAAAAAAAACAATATACTCAAAAAAATCTTGAAATTTATACTTTAATAATGATTTTAGGAGATTTATTCCAAAAAAATCGCAAGACTGAGCCTGTATCCATTTATTGGTTACGACTCTTCGTGATGATTTTACTTTTGGCTATTTTAATTGGATATGTTTTATTAATAATTTTAGATATTTACAATGACCAGCCCATAATCAAAAACTCTTTTATTGAAGAAACTTCTTTCCTTGTTCCAGGTGATAATAAAAATGATTTATTCATAATTTATTCGTATATTTAACTATGCAATTTAGTAAATGAATCATTTTTGATATACGAAATGAATATCAGCGGCTACATTTGGATTTTATAATAAAACGCGCCTTAGCTGTTTTTTCGAATATGCTGGTAAGCATTAAAGAATTTAATCACACCACATACTGTATGATGTTTGTCTCATTAGTTGCTTTACCAATTTCTAAATTAGATAATGGCACTTATGAATATGATAAGGATTGCTTGCAATATATTTTTCAGCCATCTTTAGCGGATGATTCCGTAACGTATTTAGCATCTTTTTATAATGTTTCATTTGAAAATAAATTGATGTTTTCTACAAAGTCAAATGGTGGATTAAGCTCTTTGGGATTTATGGTTTATTTGGACAATGTTAATGATCATGACAATATTCCAATAAATTTAAATCTATTAAATAAAGGTTGTATTTTCTGTAGTTATATTGTTATTACTTTATTCTAGTAAAAGACATGTGGGGTCTTTGCCTTGAAAATCGAGTTACGGAACATAGTAAATCATATGTTCCATACTTGATTTTCAAGGCAAAGACCCCATGTAACAAAATCCTCAAACAACGCTTATATTTTGAAATCATCTATAATTCTATAAGTTTATGAATTATATGGTGAAGAATTCCAACAAAACTATACTATTATTTACTCAACTAGTATTAAGATGATTTCAAAAAAATTATATTATTACATGTCTCACACAAAAATCTTAAAATTCGCAATCAATAAGCATATTACTATTCAAAGCATGATAGCATTATTAATTTCAAATATATATATATATGTTTACATAGAATTACATACGAGCCATAATTTATTTATAGGAGTATATGAAATGATTCCTAACTCAACTGTAAATTTAAATCAATACTCGCTTGATAGTCGAAATGTGAGTATATTAATTACAATCGTGTTAATTTTTCATTTAAAAGATGAAATTAAGAATACTAATAAAAAATCTTGACATGAACATTATTATTCTTATTTTTATAATAGACCTACAGGATCAAAATTAAAAGAAGACTCAAAGAAGTTATGATGCCAAGTTGGAAAAATTATTTAGGATTTCCGATGCTCGAAAAATTATACTATATAACATCGACATCAGGTATTTATTGTTGTTATAACATTTTGTAAACTATTACTAATTTATAAAAATCTAAACAGTCTACTTTAATTACTTGTTCAAGAAACGCTTCCTAATTTAAATATTACTGGATTTTCAACACCGCTTGCAACAATAATTATTGAGCCAGAATCATTTCTAACACAAGTTGAATCTGATCAAAGGTATTTTGCCAAATTATGCAGTTTTATATATAAATATGCTATCTACTTTTTTTTAACGCTAATTTATATTTAAAATTTTTTTCCTAAGAACTAAAACCGTTAGTATTTTTAAATCACTATTTATTTTATTGCACTGTCTATTAAAGCTTTTTTTAAAAAAAAATAAATATAGGTTTTGAGCTCATTGGGTCTAATTGGTGGTGCATGGGGAATTATTACAAGTTTTTATGCATTTCTTTTTGGTATGATATACTAATTAACGCAAGCATTATAAACGAGCATTTATCTATATTTAATTTTTATGCCATAATATTTATTTATTTTTATAATTATTAGGCAATGATACTATTAGCCCATGGGGAATCATTCAAAAATATTGCTTCAAAATTAGAAATTCGGTACAAGTAAAACTAAAAAATTCTTTTGAAATTGTTCCATTAGTTAGCCATCTTAGAATTGATTCTAATGATAGAACTTCAAAACAAATACTACAAAAAAGACTTGAGGTTTTACAATTATTTTTAACAGAATACGCAATTGATTTAAAACATTTAGAAAAAATTCAAAAAAAATCAAATGAACATTCATGAAAATGTAGCAAATTGCCTGTAGCTTTTGTCACGGGATTTAGCATTTCTTAACACTTTCTAGCAATCACAAATAAATTAGTCTGTTCGCAAATATCTAATATTCAAAATATAAATAGACTTTATAATGAGTTCTATATTCAATGTTATCACTTTATACGTGAATTGTCCATGCACATGTCCATAAGTATTCATAAATATATTTTACATTTTATGCTATAGTACGTTTTATTAAAAATATATAATTTCTAGTGAAATGGGTGACGCTCGCACCATCTTCTTATTTAGCATTTTTTTAATTATATAAAATTTCAATTACAGACTTACTAACTATTGAATTAATAAATTTGTATAAATTACGAGTAAAGGTGGAGCCGATAAAAAAGAAGACCTGTACTCAATTTTAAGCTTATACGGAAACGATCTATGGCGTGCCGGCAAAAAAAATTGCTATAACAAAGGTCTAGAAATATAAAACACTGTATATTTAGCTATAAATATTCTTATATTATGTAGTATAAAAAAGGCAGAAAGATCTATCTGCTAGCCTTAATTGCCAAGTCTTACATGACAAAGGACTGTGGTTATAGACAGTACTGTACGTATTTCTCGAATTTTATTTAAGGTATATTTATGTGTAACAAATGCATAATATTGTGCAAATTGCAGTATAACTTGAGATGCCAAAGTGGTACAGCCAGCCTCCCCAAATGCAACCCCTAAATGCAATCCTAAATGCAATGTTTGATTTCCACGAGTTGCATTTAGGAAGATCTAACTATAGATATAATACGTTGCTGGCTATATAAGTTTCTTACAATATAATCTATCGCTTTTAGAGTCCTAAAATTTTTTTTCATAATTTACTTCGATCATATAAAAAAAAATGTGTAATATATTTTATACATTTAGAATTTTTTTAATAGTCAATTTTATTTCAAATGTCGCTGCAGACATTACTGCTTATGATATGTTTAATTATGGTATAATAGAATATATCCCATATATAACTATCAACATATTTCTTTTGGGTATCTTAATACCTACACAAAGCTTAAAAAAAATTAGAAAATTTATATTTTTTTTGTTCTCAAAATATTTTTTATACACATTTCCCTTTTTATTCTTTTATTTAATTGAAGGATTTACGTTTAAAACAATAATTCTTTTAACTATTATGTGCAAATGTATTTTATTCATATTAATTGATCGAATACATAAAATATTTCGTCTTGAAATCGTTCCAAATTTTATTACCATCATATGTTACCTTGCTTTTGTTCCTTTTTTGGTCTGGTATCTTGAAGAAGGTTTTAATACAGTAGCTAAAATCACGCTATGTATAACTACAGTAACGGTAATAGCTTTTTTAATCTTCATACCTATGGTTGTATACAGACCAAATTTATGTTACATTTTCATACCACTTTTTTTTATATTTATTCTATATGTCGCGGCTATATATATTGCGGCTATAGTTCTTGATTTCATAAAATATGGATTTAATTTTGATTTCCAAACATATTTACATATTTACTTAGTTAAAATAATTGTAAAATTTGTTATTAATACTATTATAATATCTATAATTTTTATAATTAAAGCATTAAAAATTTGGGGTTACCTATTTCTTCATACCTTGGGTATTATTGGACATTTTATCGTCTTTTATAAGTTATTAGATCATGCAAATTCAGCTTCTCTTCTTTTATTTTGGACGGATTTATGGTGTCTTATTTATGGCCTATATTATATAATAGAATATTCTAAAGATCTCATTTCTCTTGAGGGCGAATTATTTGATAGTGATGATGGTCAAATTAATTTTAACGTTATTTTTTCAACACCAGATGATAATGACTCTATTAACTCGGACGAATCAAATGACTCAAATGACTCAATCAACTTCTGTATTTTTTAACAAATATATTTATTATATAATAAAAAATACATTAAATGTATTTTATTAAAATCTATTAAATATATTGAAAATACACATATATAGAAAGAGGAACTATTACATATTTATTACAAAGATATTTTATAGCTGTACCATATCCTATAAAAAATAATTATTGATGTGGTTTTACACTTTCAATTTTTATAAATAAACTAATTTAAGTAAGAACTACTATTAGATTTAAAAAAGGCTAGAAGAAACCTTGTTAGTATCAAAAACTTTATTGGAATGATCTTCTGCATGCCAACAAATAAAAATGAGAGGGGATGTATTATTAGATGGGAAATTGTATTATTCACTTCCCTTTTCTTGGTTTTGTTAAATTTAAAGGATGAATTAACTTACTTGCTATTTAAGTGACACACAGCATGCAGTTGAGTTAGTTAGTAATGTTTTTTATTGTGAGTTAATTGTAAAAAATCTATTAAGAACTTGCTTGCTATTCTGGTAACACATAACATGTGGTTAATGTTGAATTGGATTATAATAATTTCTATCAAGAATTATTATAAAAAACTTTGTTAGAAAGCTTACTATTTTGGTAATACAAATTATCCAGCAGGTACTATGCATACACTGACAGAAAAAATACCATATTATTGCTGCAAATGTTTATTAAAATCATACAAATTGTAATTTTTTAAAATTCTCAATTTCAAATAAAATTTATGAAAAAAACTAAATTGCCACCTAGTGTTTGAAACACTAGTGTTTGTGTAACATGCAAATTAAATAATTTTTATTATAATAAACAATAAACATAAATAATTTTACTTAATATTAGAGTTAGTATTAGAGTTTAAAGTGACATAAATCATAGTTTAGACCAAAATTTTGCAAGAAATTTTTTTTCTTAGAGCTTGAAAAGTAGTTTCATAAGCAAAATTTTAAGATATTATTTATTTTTAGTTTTTTTCTTTTGCTCATATTAAATACTTAGATCAATTAAACCAATAAATAATCACTAAACTTAGAGACTAAGGGTGCTCTCAATGTTACTGAGATCGTGCATATAAAATACTATGATTAATTAAAGTGATCATTACTGTAATTTTCTAAAGATTCATATCATAAATGTGGATAATAAATTTTAGCTAATCAGAACAAGTCTAAGGCGGTTTTCATCAGGATAAACCGGTTAAACTTTTCAAAATTAGAAATTGAGCCTCGACTATTAATTATGTGCTTGTTTATCTTAGATCTAAAAAACTGTACTAATAATATTTAAAAAATAACAATAAAGAAGTGCATTATATGTATTAGTTTGTTGAAATATAAGATAAGTTAAAAGTGTTTGCCAAGTAATATAAATATTATATTTTTAGTAAAGCCTCTTTATATATCTGAAGTAGCTACTTTAGATGTCTAAAGTAGCTACTTTATATATTTAAAGTAGCTACTTTATATATCTGAAGTAGCTACTTTATATATTTAATGCAGCTACTTTATATATCTAAAGTTATTTTTATTGTACAAAAAAATGATCTACATATTGCATTTAATTTGATATTTTGATAATTGTCATGTGTAACCAAGTGTAGATACACCTAGTGTCCAAATAGAAATTGTCAAAATTTATTTTTATAATATGCCCAGAAAAAGTTATATATAGAAAAGAACTATATATTATAAACCTTATTAAAAATAACAGTGGAAATGATAATATATTTCCTTATTATTATGTTCAGATAAAATTCATGAAGTTGCTTGATATCATGAAAAGTTGGTGCCGCTTAATTAGAGATAGGCTTTAAAGATGGTCATTGAACTAATAATCTTGGAATAAGGTAGATTTATTGTCACAATTAGACCTTAATGAAGTTGGAGTAGATGCTGAATTACTCGAATCTACAAAAATTATAATATAATTAAAATATATCATTAATAACTAGAATAATCCATACCCAAATACTTTTTATATTGTTCTGGCCCATTATCAAATGCATATTTTCTGCTGTTTTCAGTTTTATATTCCTTTCCATCTATTCATTTTAACTATACAAGAAATTTGCAAAGAAAGTTTTCAAGTTCAACAACTTTGGATATGCTTTCAAATAATTTTTAGTAATTGGATACTTTTTTATATTTGTTAACTGCTCATAACCACTTTGCTACGCAATTATCTGTATTATATACTCATGAGTGCTTAAGAAGTTTTGAAACATCTTCATCTGTTGGTAACATATTATATGACATTGAAATATTAAAGAGAGAGTTAAATCAAACACAATTGCTCATTTTATTATTTATATATGTTGTGCCTTAGACTAACGCTTGCCTCAGATTACAGGGCTCATACAGCGCTTCCGATGTACAGGAAAACACAAGCAAAATTCCTGGAAAATTATTTTACTAATAAAGATAGATCATACCAAGAAATAATCCGAAACAAAACAAATAGATCGCCTGGTGCGATACAAACATGAAACCAAAAAAATAAGTGTTACAAATAACACGTCACGATAAAAAAATCGCATAATGCTAAGAAAACAATGAAATTACAATTACTTATCGTTTGCATTATTCAGTAAGTCTAAGCTTAACTGCATTAGCAGCTAATCTATTGTACTTAACAATAAGTACTATTCTTACGATTAGAATAAGATATTAATAATAGCTTAATAACATAGTATAATATAGTATTAGAATAGAAAATTTAATATTGTTACCGATTTATTTAAACAATGATATTTTACCTTAGATAACTTCGTGCATGTAATAATACAAGACACTAATAATAAGTGCATGTATTAAAATATAATTTCTATTATTTATCCGATATAATCCCTTAACACTTTGAAAGTGTAAAATATATTTGACATATATTTAATTGTTAAAAAGTCATTTATGACTACTATCGTAAACCAATTTGAAAACTTAGGAACATATAGCGATTCATTACTTATAGATATTATTAACAATTTTATCGACACCACTCATAATAATAACAGCTATAATAGCTAAACATTATATTTATCGAAAGCTTAAACTACTCCATTGAATTATAAAACCTATATATATATATTATAACCGATTCATATTT